GTGGCGCAATGACAGTGATAATCGGTTTTATTATATATGTTGATATTCCCCAATAATCCTCTGTCTTTTTAATTTTAATTGAATTAAAAGTTTTTATAATACAATCACTACTGATATTAATTCAAGGAAAAGGTGAATCTTTGATAATCTTTATATATATAATTCTTCTGTGAGTGTGTATGTCACTGAACTTCTCTTAAACGACTGGACCGATTTTGATGAAATTTTTTGTGTGTGTTCAAGAGAATCTGAGAATGGTTTAGATTCACAATTTTGTCCGCTGGACAACCCCTATTTTTTTAGGGCGGTACGAAGTTCGCTGGGTCAGCTAGTTTTAGTATAAAAATATTTCAAGATCGTTTCAGGAAATGACAATACCCTATTGTTTCTGTCAGTTAAAAACATTATACGTTTTTAAAACAGAATTCTGTCAGCATTAAGTGAATAACAAGACGTCTGCCCAGGAAAACAAAATAAATACCCTCAAAATCCTCTTTTCTCATAAATTATCCAGCAGGTATTGTCGTAGTTAGGCTAAAAATAATTCCATTTTTTATTGCCACTGTGCACACAAAGAGTTAGTGTATATACCGACCTCTTCGTGACACCGCCAATTTGGCGTGCTCAATAAAAAAAAATCTGCTCAATTTATGTTCACGTAATGGGGCACTGCGGGTAATTCGCGACCTGCCAGTGTACATACACACTTTTCATTTGAATTTGCTAAGGATTTTTATCAATTTACCAAAAGTTGCCCTAAAACTGGTGGTGGTATTTAATTGATTATATTTTTTTAAGCATTTAACTGCTAGACGGTCATATCTAAAGAAAATTTTACTAGAAAAAAATCCACGCGGACCAGGCAGCAGACGGGACTGGAACCTCGAAATAATATAACTATAATATTGCTTTTTTTTCTTCGAAATGTTTAATACTTGTAAAGTTATTCATTTGACATTGTGGGTTGCTTACGATGCGAATAGATGGCGCTGCCTTGCAGCCTAAGGCTAAAGAAAAATCGACGCGGCCAACAGGGCCGCGGTAGCATAACGGTGAGTGCATTCGCCCGGATAGCAAAGGGTGCGGATTCTAGTCCCGTGTGATACCTGGTCCGCGTGGATTTCTACCTAGTAAAATTTTCTTTAGAATAAATTTGATATTTTAGAATCTACAAATTTATTAAATGAGTCCGAATATTTATTCACATTTGTTGCACGATGTCATCGTCTTATATAAATGTATCATATAGTTAACGTTATGTAATAGATAGCGAATTTTTCTCTCTAATTAGAGAACCAGTCTGGTAATGTAATCTCCATCTTACTCTGTAAATTAAATACCATTATCTTTTGGTGGTGTTGTGCTTCTGTTCGCGAGTAATATTCTAGTTTACGTCGTGGAGACAGACCAGGTACATTTTTCTGCCGTATCAAATATCTTGTCAACTAGGCTTCACTTACAATTAACATCAGTTGGGGTGGTATAAATAAATAAATATTTCTAACACTTAACAGCAAAATTAGTCTAGCCCCAAAGTAAGCACTGTAAGACTTGTGTTATGGAAAACTAAGGTAACGGATAGAATAAATAAACTGATACATTGTACATAAGTACATTTATATGCTTAAAAAATAACTTTTTCAGTTCTTTTTAAGCAACACCAAAGTGGCATATAAGCAATTTTGCTTTTACCCTGTCGATTAACTTTATTAAATAAAACTAGTTTTTACGGGTTAATGCACGAAACTTTATTTATTTATTGACGTTTCGCAGCCTTTTCAGGTCTGCATCGTCAGAATAATGATTTTTTATTTAAAATTGTCGAGCTACCTTCGAAAGACTTATATTGAGCGAAGGTAGCTCGACAATTTTCAAAAAAAAATCATTATTCTGACGATGCAGACCTGAAAAGGCTGCGAAACGTCAATAAATAAATAAAGTTTCGTGCATTAACCCGTAAAAACTAGTTTTATTTAATGAGTGATGTGCGTGAAAACCTAAGAAACAAATAGATTAACTTTATCTTATTCAGCACACAAATATTTTCCCTGCAGGGTTTCGAACCCGGCACCTCTGAGTAGGTGACATTTTGAAACCGTACATACCACTCGGCCACGGAGTTCGTCATAATGTATAAAGTATAATTTGCTGCGCCTTGTTCATAATACTTTTTTTTTATCTCATAAATATATCATCAGAGGTGCGACAAAATAATCTCTTTCTCGTTCTTTGTATTGTTCTTCTACAGACATAGTGGAAGGTTGCTAGCAAACCGCCTAGGATAGTCTCCAAAAAAGTCTCATATCGTCCCATTATTTCGTTTCCAATAACATGAAATGTTTTTATTAGCTATTAGGTAATAAAAACATTTCATATGTTCATCATATGTATGGATATTTACACAACGAATATTAATATTCATTATTGGCAAGATTGAAACATTTTCTGTCAAAGAACTCGGGTATAGTAATAATGATGTTTGATATGCAATGACAAACTCATCATAATAAAAACCGTCGCAAAAATAATGATATAACTCTAGCTAGACGGAGGGGTAATAAATCTCGAAAGAGGATTTCACTGAAATAATAAAGACTAATTACATATCACATTTCGCTGAATATTTTTCCTCTCACATGGTATTACATTATACTCCAGAGGACCATAGCGTATAACGACAACTCATTGTCGCGTTCTCATATTTTTAGATAACTTATTCTCGTCTTATATCACTCACTCGTTGCCATATTAATCACATTATCATCATCATCATCATCATCATCATCAGCCTTTTAATGTCTCCACTGCTGGGGCACAGGCCTTCCCTATGGATGGAATAGGGAGATGGGGCCATGACCCACCACGCGGGCCCAGTGCAGATTGGTGGGTGCTAACGACTGCAGATGCAGCCGGGACCAACGGCTTAACGTGCCTTCCGAAGCACGGAGGAGCTCGAGATAGTAAATTTTTGGTCACCCATCCAATGACCGACCACTGCGAAAGTTGCTTAACTTCAACGATCGCAGCCGAACGCGCTAACCACTTGCGCTATCAAGCTCCTCACATTATCATAATATACCCAATGAGTGGGAACAGTTTTTGAAGTGAATACTTCTTTAGCTCCGCTCTGATTTGAGATTCGATGAACCGGAAGTAGAGTATTTGACACAAGGTAGGTATCCGTATTTTTTTTTCTTTATGAGATGGATAGCCGTTGCAGTCGTGGGGTCGACACCAATTGATCGATTGTTGGTCCTAAGCTCGGTAATTTCTTTTTAATTGTTTTTTTTTTCTTTTATTGAGCTATAATTTAATTTTGACGTACACAGTGGGATTTTAACACATGTGCTGTCTTTAAGACGTACCTAGCCATGAAGGACTTTTACGTGGTCACATTGTAGGTTTTACTTCTCTCGCATGTGAACAGCACATGTCCGTTTTTTTTACCTTAGAATGGTTAATGTCCCACACGGATTCTTGCTCGAATGCCAAATGTTTATGTCTTTGTTTGTATTCATAATGCTGCCGTTACTGTGCAAACGCTTCTGTTTTCTCCATATTTGCATAAGGTAAACATTTAAATGGTTTTACTATGTTGGTTCTTTTAACGTGCAACGGACTTGGTTATATCATTTTTGCTTTTATTTTAAGGATTTCCTAAAATTGGAACACAGTATTCCATAACTCCAAATTCTATAAAAATAATCATGATTTGAACATAAACAATGTGTAAGTAACTATATTGAACTTTGTTTTAGACCTAAATATCTTGGAAGGGCATAAAGTAGTGAAGCAGTTGGGGGTAAATTGTTTATTGCGTACTTACGAAAGAACAATTTCAAATTGAACCACATTATTCTCTGACTTAAATAATTCAGCGTCCGCTAATAGAGCAATTAGTATCCAAGCCAAGACCGCGTACCTACCTACTATAAGCATCTGACATGGATCAAGGGGCTCCTCAAGGGAGAATCCTGGGACCGCGCAGTAATATAATTAACAACCGAAACTAGTCAATCTTGGCCCACCACACGCATAAAGTTCCTGATACATCAAAAGTGGAACTACCGTGTAATCATCCCTCAACACATCTTGTTGGCCACTTAATTTAACGACTGGGGAGATAAACAGTCATTAGTAAACTCCCAGCGCTATCCACTTTTCTTGATGCCGCCGGTAGGATAGCGTAAATGTGCTGAAAGTACTTACGAAACCGTTTAGTTTTATGACAGCAGCTTCATAAATATTTTTTCCTATAATAGAAAATGAATATAAAAGGTTAAGTAGACCGTGCTCACCTCCGTCAAGCGAAGTTACTAAATGTCAATGGAAATGTCAGCGGCCACAGAATTACCAAATCAGGTTGACGTTGCTTTGAATTTGACGAAGTAGTCGTGTCAAAAGCAAAACTTAATTTATTTCATTCATTTGTTAACATTCACAACAGTTTTTTTTTGAAACGCCTTTACTTGGAATCTTTTATAAAGGCACCTTTAATCACAATTGCTATGCTTTTTTATCAGGCGTATTAAACGAATTAGATAACCATCTGAATTCTAATAACTAGGGATAGCAGTAAAAAAATAACTCGTTTACCCAATTGATATTAAATTGATAGGAAAGCCCTTTCCGAATGTGTACATTCGAGTCGAAATATCGCAACGATAAACTAAGTGTTCCGTTTCCACAGTACAGTGCTGATTGAGAGTGATAAGTGACGTTGAATATTTTGGAAGTGTAATCAATATAGATATGGAAGTATGCCCGAGCCGGACAGGACGCTGACCCGCATCAAACTTTAGAAAAGTGTTGGCCAATATAAATAAGCAAACATTAGTGCGTGTGTGAGAGTGTCAGGTGGCGATGAGGCGGGGGGCGGGTAGGCCCCCGCGCCTCTTATCAGCAGATAAGGCACCGTGGCGCTCCGCGGGGCCCTCGGCACACGGAGTCGATTCATCAGCGTGACCAGGCCGCTTGGTTCGAAGCGGCCGCCGCCGGCAATGTTGCACTCACTGAACGCACTCGCCGGCAAGATATCGCCGGGCGGCGGCCTAGACTCGAATGCTAACAGACACACGCTGCCCAACAAGAATCACAGGAATATGTCGCCGTCCTCGCCCTACACCAAGCCGAAGTAAGTCAACCTTCCATCTATTGTTTACCCATCAGATTCCAGACCGATTTGTTGTACAGTCAAGACCGAGATTGCACTGCGATTATGGCTCTCGTATGCTACGTAGTTAAGACATCTGTAATGTGAGTCTGTCAATGTCGGATTTTAATCACGGGATCTAGACTGTACATTGCAGAGCTAGTGAGGCCGCACACTGGAGCCACAGGGTACATGCTCGTAACATTTACCTTGCCACAATATCACGCTACATTTTTGCTTTCGTCTCACACCTAAATGTGTCCCTGGAGTGCAGCCCGCCTAAGGTCGATCGCGACAAGTCAGCTACATTACTCAACGTTAAGTTAATCAGGTTAATATAATTTATCACGTATACACAACGTGTCATATTTTTTAATTTATTAAAATTTATAACTAACATGCAAGATATTAAGTAACTAAAAGTTTGTTAAGGATATTTCACTACTATGGGAAAATATTGGCCTATTGATGGCGCACAACAATAGATTCATAATCATTGTCAATATTTTGTTCTTCGAAAATATGAGAATTTTGATTTCTTTCTTTCATTGAGTAGGATCTGAGGTTAAGATTCATCCTTAACTAGAAAGTTCTTCTATAAAGCTGGCCATTGCTGAGTACAAACTTTAAAATTACAATAAAATCACAATTCATAAATGGCTGAAGCTATATTGAGCAACATTTGAATGTTGTTCTTATCTTGAATTGAATTCCTCTAAAGATAATGCATTAGAATAGTATAAATAATTAAAGATACGCAAATATACTACAATACTTAGTATATTAGTTACGTGTGTGTCTTATTGGAAGAAAGGCTCTTCTGTTTCTTTTAATGTCAAATTATAAACGTTTTACAAATACAAACATATAAAACTCCACAAAGATATGAAGAATGTATATCAGAGTCCTCTCAGTTACCGATTTCGATGCGGGCTATTATGAACTTTTTTATTACCCTCTCGTCGTTAGAAACTTTGTTCGCTTTATAAACTTGGAAGTTTTTTATGTTGCCTAACTTCATGTTACAGGTTTGCTTATTCTCGCGAAGTAACTCTGATACCCACACACATCAGATCATTCTTCTACAACTTCTGCAATTAGAAAGTAATGCAGCTATGGATACAATATTTCAAACTTAGTTTCCAGCCTCTTGAACTTTTCTTGTTTACCGTTATTTTGTTTTCAATCCCGTATTTTGGAGTAATTCATAATTTGCAATAAACGAGTCAAAGGGTTTATAAGGATTTTTGAGTCCGTAGTTCCATATCTCCTAAAAACACTCGGATAAAGACAGTGAACAGACAGTGTCTTAGATATAGCGACAGATGGCCACAATGGCCCTTAGCCTCGCTCACCCTTCGCAATTTCGTTGATGCTTAGGACTTTACTGCGGAATGTTGCCATTGGGAAGCAGAAAACTGTAGTAAATTGCAAATGCCAAAAAATAATATCACATTTATGAAGAAACATGCCGCGTACATTTATATTGAACAGAATAATCTAAGAATTCAATTATAATAGATTTGTCAGCTTTTAATAGGTATGATTCGTGATTATTTCCTAGTTCTACTTTTTTCTGAAAATCAGCTGAATCAGTTTTAAACTTTAAACTTTTACTCATAAATATTTCCGTCATCACCTAGTTGTTGATCAAGAGTTGTTAGATCTAAGAGTAACTAGAAAAGTTACAAATTTTAGTTAGAATTTAATTTCACGTGTCCACACACGTTGTAGTTATAATCACGCGATCTTTGGATGTTATCAAAGATAAACATTCACTTGTTGTGCAAGACATGGCACAAACGAATCGTAAATGTAAGTAAGCTAAAATTTATATGATGATGTATGTTCATCTCAATAGTTTGACTATGATTGAAAAAAAAAGCTGGAAGACAATGAATTACAATTAACGACAATTATTAAAAGTATGGAATAGAACATAGATAATAATTATTCCCAATTGGTTATGAGAAAAGAGCCTCTACTAGATATTATCATGATGCTGTTGAAATGATTTTAAGTAGAAGTTCTGAATATTCGTGGGTAACAAAGACTGAGACCAGAGGAAATGAAAAACAGAATATAAAATTTGGACAGATTTCAGTTAACCATTGAGGGAACATATTAATACCTAACTAGGAACTTCGAAAATGATGACATCAAACTGATGACAAATATTATGATGTCATTGACATCGCGACATATTAGGCACTGACAATCTAAGCGTTCAAATATTTGCAGGAGGTGCGCTTATCTAACCTATTCTGGTTAACCACATGAAACGGGAGGATTAGATTTACGCGCTTCTGGTTGCATTTTAGAATTCTTGAATCTGTATGTTGTGTTAAGTGCTCTTAAGTTATTCCGCTTTCACGGTTGGGGTCAGATGATATAGATGCACACTTTAGTTGTTGGTATTTAGAGCTTAATACAGTAGAGTGCTGTACCATGTTCTTGTTTGCCTGTAACAAAAATAGGAACGTTGATATTACCTACTTATTTATTTTGTACCTACTTAAGTCGCATGACTATTTGAGAGTGTTTTTGAATGATATTAACAGACTTGACTATGTGCGCAATGTCATTGTGTTTTGTTTGAATGCCACGATAAGCTGTTGATCTCCACTGATCATACCACGACGTTCTCTGAGCTACATCCGCTTCGACATACAATGGTATATAAGTGATACAACTAAACTATGTATTAAAAAAGTTTTATGTACTCGCAGATAGACTTACCAAAAATTTAAAAAAAATACAAATTGTTTTTCAAAAAGATCTTTTAATTTCTTTTGATTCTTTTTTAATTAATTGAAACTTCATTTGTTACACCTTTCTCTTGTCTTCTTGTTTTCGAGCACTGTTTTGTTTATTTAAGATTTTGGGATTTACAAGAGCGCTGCATAATAACATAAGGGGGGCAACCTTGCACCTTGTGAAGTAGTCCCACGATACCTTTGCCCTTTAAACGTGCCGGTAGAACATCTACGGCAACAAACAATTGGCCATAACTTTGGTCGCATCCAAATCGCCAGTCTTTTGAATAGGAGCTACAAAAGAGTTCAGCAACAATATTTTTTTCTTACTTTTCACCCCACCGTACGTTTTCGTATTCTGTCGCGCTCGAGGAAATCCCAAAATCCCCGCTTGGGCTCCCCTACTACTAAAAGTAATTATCTGTCTAAACTTTTTGTTTTCTTAATGTGCCACTTGTTTCGTGTTTAGCGTACACAAGTATTTGTAAGTAATTTTAATGCAAGTAATAGCACCTGACCTTGTATAGTTCGGGACATATTATTTTTACTTGCTTTTGTTACTTGAAACATTGATAAACATTGTTTCTCATTTAGGATAGACTTATAGAAAACTAGGCTATCGTCGATATCATTCAGAGTACCAGTATTGCAAACAAAGCAAACAATCCGAGTATTTACATTCAACTCTGATAAGGTACGCTTTCATGTGTTATCCCCACTTAGTCTTTTAGTACCTACGTACTACAAGTTTACTGATTATTAGTTTTTTTGTGACAGTTAAATGCTTTGTTCGAAACACCCATGATAATTTTTAACTTTAATATGTGGAGGTTTTTCACTGGCTTTTAGATATTGTTTTTTTAATAAGTGATTGACAGCTGTAAACCTTCCTAAAATAAAATAATTAAAATAAATTAATAAATAAATAATCCTCATTCCTGGGCCACAGGCTTTCCTTATGAGATCGGGCCATGATCCACCACGCCGGCCTCGTGTGGGTTGGTGGAAGCTAATGAATATATATGCAGCCACGCGTAAAAATATATAATAATATATTTTTGGACACCCATCTGTCACCAAAAACTTAATACTATCTCGAGTCAGTTGTCTAACTTCCACGATATAGCTAGCTTCATCGAGCTTCTCCATAAGGCGCCTTTATCACTGGGTCGTCCTCCTTCCTCCTTTCGCACAAACCAATACCGAAATTCGAATAGTTTGCGAGTGCAAAATGTCATTGTCAAATTTTGTATCGAAACTTGAACAGCAGCGGACGTAACGAGAACTAAAAATCAGTAAACATTTGACAATGACATTTCGCACTCGCAAACTATTCGAATTCGATATTAGTTCGTGTTAAGTGTACATATTTTTTACCGAAAACCATTACATAGCGTGCTCGGTTTCGGTGCGGTATCGTTTCGTTTCGTTTATCACGGTTTTCTTTGCGGGAGTGACGGCACGGACGAGTCGGGTGATTCGGTGGCACTCGGCAGTCCTCGGTAGAATTCGGTACAGAGAGCTGTGTATCCGCTCGGGAATTAATCTGTGCCGAGACAACTCAGTGAGGAAGCTATCTTTTCATGGACTTTGATTTTCTTTAACATGGACTCGGTAAATAATCTGTACAGATTCGGTACAGAAAGGAGAAAAATGTAACGAGCCTGCACCGGCTCGGTGAAGAAGGCGCCTAAGTGACCTATACTATACCGGTTAATACACTTTTATAGGTTATTTCCAACACTTGGTGTCATCCGAAGCCATATTTTTTCGTTTTACAAAGTAGTGTCTTAGTGTGATTTACTAATTGTAAGAAGCTTACTATAACAATAGATTATGCGAGGTCGCACAGTTGCCCTAAATAGACTCACGAACATTTAATCCTCCACTATTTCAGCTACAAAGTTTGTTTATCATTTATTAGAAAGTTCATCAGAGTTCATACTATGTTTAAGCGAAAATTTACCTTATTGCTTTGAATTTTTTGTAAAAGTATGCTGCGTATGGTGAGCCAGGAATAAAATTGGCCGATAATACCTGAACACGCGTTTTTTAAATCAAATCGAATTCGTAACGTTTGCGAGCCCGAAATGTTATTGTCAAATGTGTATTGATTTTTAGTTTCCTTCACGTCCAAAGTGGCGCTGCTGTTCAAGTTTCCATACAAAATTTGACATTGACATTTCGGTTTGCAAACTATTCGAATTCGATAATGGTTCGTGCTAG